TTCACTAGTTAGGTAATAGAATTCAAGCACATCTCGGCATTCCTAGTATTTCATGGTTAATAGTCATTACTATTTCCCGATATAAAAAGAATCGATATTTTTCTATTTAATGTAAGAGCCAATGTAGTACATAGTAACGTGTCTTGCTGCAATACCAGTAATCAGTTTCTCATTAATCGAACTCTCGTAATTCACGTTACCGTCACTAGTAATTAGCCTACATACTCGACCTATCATGCGTGACGCACTCTCGTTGTTCCCACCCGTTTTGCGCCTCCCTAACCTGTTTCCTTTCTCCCTGAACAGGCCATAACGTTTACCAGCAGAAATGGACAGTGCGCGTTTGTTATCCTTTTCGTTGTTGGTATCCAGACTACTTAGGCTTCATCGCTTAGTAATTTACGGTATCAGCGGAATGCGACGCTGTCTCGACCGTTATGCGTGTTGAAGTATGATGCAACGTATCGCCTCGCCGGCTCAGCGTACATTTTGTTTGTATCAAGATGGAAACATCGATCCAAAACGCGGATACGAAGGGAAATCTAGGAACATCTATAGAAGCTTTTTTTAAATTTAAAAATTAAAATAAAAGAAATAAAAATTACTCCATAGAGTAGTCGGTGTCTCGGTTGACGGTGCGATTCCAGAAACTGCGATGATCCAACAAAGAGAGGCCGACCAGTAGAGAAAAGGCCAACCCTGCGCCGACATTTTTGTCCTTGACGAAGGTTACCCCCAAAGTGGCGCTTAATGCCGAACGACGATTAGCGACAAAATCGGGACAGGCATATAGCATCAGCATTACGGTACAAAGCTGCGCAGTGATTTTCCGATTGGCAGGCCCAATTCCAACTAATAGACCGGCCTAGTAGGACGTAACAATATCTAGTTATCACGTCATCTTTCCAGGTACGATCATAAATTAGAATAGATAGATTACTTTTCATGCATGATGAATGAATGTACTCGACAAAGAGACACGCCATCATGGTAGCTTTGGCAGGGTAGAAGCAGTATATAATTGTTAAAAGAAAATCTACGCGAATACCGCAAGATCTGGCCGTTTATAGGTTTAATTCAGTGTTTAGCCTGCGTATCGCATGTATACGTATCTAAAAAAAATCCTGAGGATGTAGAAGCATATACAGGTAGTACATAACATGCACAAGGAAATGGATTTTCAGAAAAAGTAGTTTTTTGTGTAGAGTACCAATATGAGTGCTATGTATACTGTTCGCACTTATTATGTACGCTGAATTACAAAAGTTCACCGTACATACCCTTAGCTATTTTTGAGAACTCTATAGAAAATGAATATAAGAACATTAATTAGGCCATTTACTGCGGCTATTACTATACGCCCTATAATCAGTATACCCAAATGCACTTATTTCTCATATAAGATAGTTGCTTGCCAAGTTCCGTGCCGCTTTTAAACCTCGCACATGTGGACGCAGGTAATCCTAGAAAATACGTGTTTTAACTTTTTCAATTATTGGTAATCAACAGTAAGCGGCCGGCTTCGATGATATTTTTCTTGTTTGAAGCAATGGCAAATTGGTTTAATAACAACGGCCTCTTTTTGATTAGTGGGCATTTATGACAAGTTACTACAGCCGAAATAACGTGTACGTGGCCTGGCCGGAGCCATTGTAACCCTCCCCTGATCAACAGAAATAGTAACGATTGCGATGCCATTCACAATCACAGGAAATAAAACGATAAATCTACCCTCTAAATCCATCACCGTTCAACCAAAGGACGGATGCGTGAGCCTATCCGACTCTGGGATGGGCAGCGCGGCACTAACTGAATTCGAAAAACCATCCTTGAACAGAAAATAGAAGAGGAGATGATTGTAAAACCTCGTAAGTTTAAGACCGCGGGACGCAATCACCCCGCTACGAACAGTAATAAGCAAAACTAAAAATCATAACGATAATAATAAAAATAATATTGGAAAGGTATCTGTTTGAAGCTCTTTAGGGTTTAGGAAGTTGTAAATTGGAGCCCTATACTAATTGATCAGTTCAATCATACAAAGGAATTTCAATGCACTTTGATAACATAGGCTCCAACAAAAAAACAATGCACGAATTCTACATTTAGTTATCAGATTTGATGGATTATAGTAATTTTAAGAGACGAGTCTCTCTCTAATTAGGCAAAATGTATTTCGTGTTATTTTAGGTAAACCCATATGCTTTCTATTATCTTAACACATTATTATCTGACTCTATACTGTATTTTCATCAAGTGTTTCCGAATTACGCCTTTTGCTCTCATGGCTTTCAATTCCTACTTGTTTGTAAAGAGGACAGCTATCTGTCGTCTGATACCGAGTTCGTCCTAACGGACTCACACCGTACGCCAATTATGAACTATACCGAAGAAAGCGATTTCGAAATCGAGCATTGTGCGGTCAATTTTGTCCTTTGCACATTCGTATCAACGATCTTGTGGGTGAACCTATTTGCTATACTATTTGCCTACCGAAAACAAAACTACTGCCGTTGTGGATGTCATTGCCACTGTTGTCGTGAGGTAAGAGCGCTATCATTTCTTCCGTAGTATTCCCCATGCATACATATGTCCTTATATGCAATGTGCTCGCAATACACTTCACGGCAATGAAGCAACCCGAACATATACATAAACAAGGTAGAGCAGGCAAATTTTAATTAACAGAAACTCTTCCTCCGGTGCATTCTGTTGAGAAACGTATTGTCTATCATCCAGCACAAGCTTGGCTCTTCTGAACATATTATCGTACTTGAAATGGTCATCACCATCTTATTTCATGCGCAGATCTTTCAAGTCTTTCCGGAAGAAGAAGAAGAAGAACGGTACAGCGAAAATATGTGTGATACCTCTTAATCTGTTGATTTAGTAGACAAAGCTGGAAGTAGCTCTTGCGCCACAGATCTTTTATAACCGTTTTCGTATTTAAGTTCACAACGCTTAGTCCTGGTCATCTAAGCTGTCTCGTCCTCTCTTTGATTTCCTTCCACCTTTCCTATCACGCCTACTCTCGCTCTCTTTCAGGTTTCAATTTTTATACACTATTGCTTTGCACAGACGACGTTCATGGAGATGAATGACCTCTACGTGGGCCAAATTCAGCACAGGCGCCGCTGGTGGAAACCGATATTCGATCTTCGATGACAGGAGGTCCTTGCTATACACCGTAAAGGAGCGGAGAGCACCGTCGTGCAGGTCATGCTATAGCCCGCGCGATGTGAAATTCCAGGTAGGAAAGGTTCAAGTAAATATGCCCTTTATAAGTGTTGCGTGCGCCGTTGCAAAAAAGCGAACTGGACGAATCAATGAATGATATAACGTACATTTGGTTATACATGAGCATGACAAATGGGAGCAAACGAACAGCTCTTTAGACAAAGCATTCCTTAGTGTATTGGATATCGTAAGTAAACAAAACCTCAGACAGGCCTAACACAATTTACGAACGGTGCTGGCCATCACAACCATTCAACACTTAGTTCATTCCTCTTTTCGTACATTTATTCCAGGTGAAAAAGAAAAATGTTGCTGTAGGCGAAACATCGTCAGCTGTTGAAGTGTTCTGTTTATACTGAGACATTTTAACTCGCAATAGAGCCATCAATACTGGCATTATCATCGTTTCGCAAACAATTCAATTGTAAATCGCATTGCCAAAGTCACTCTACAACAATCGAAACACCTTGGCTTCATATCTTTAACAACCGATTTAGTTCTCATCGACTAGTTAAACAATTTTCAATGGTAGCAGTCGTTTTCGTCGCCCTTTCACGTTTCCGCCCAGCGCTAATGTTTATAGGAAAAGCACTTATGTGCGCTGCATTCTTTATTGTAAATGATTATCACTGCCGACCGAGCACAGCGTTCCCTACACTTATTATTAAAAATATTTCTTTCAGTAAAATATAATAAGCATTACTTATTTTGTATCGCCAGTGAAAACTGATTGAATACGTTCAATAATATAGTTAATTCAGGATTCGCTATGCAAATTGATGAATGATTCTAAAGTCGGAAAAGATCTTTATCAAGGTAAACAGTTCCTTTTCTAAAACAATCCTTTTAAAGGCGTTTCAGACGTGTATAGGAATCTATGCATACAATGTTTTGCTCTAATCTTGTTCCTGAGAAAGTCATATTTGAGGCATTATTTAACAACTAATTTCGGAGGTGCACTACTGGGATGAAGATCCGTTAAAGATCTGTGAAGTAATCAATACACCATGTACCCTTCAATTGCTTAACCAAGTACTGAGCGAAAAGATAGCAATACATGACAGGACGATGCTCAGCTCAATCGAACTACAGCAACCCCTTTAAATATATGATTTACTATATGGTGCATCGCTTATTTCATAAGCGAAACCATGACAAAGTTTTCCCGTAAAATAGCCAATACCAATTACGCTATAGAATATGATAACCTGTGAAGTGTTTGAAAGATTAATTACGTAAGAATTTATTGAGTGCAGTAGAAATTTCAATAACATTGGCCAGTTATACAGGCCTATGACACATATATTTGCGTTATACGTCATAGGCGTGCCATATAAGGCGATGAAAAACATGGTAAGCAACAATGCAGATTAAAGTTGTTATGGTTAATTTAAGCAACGCAAGATATGAAGGTTTGTTACCTTCCAAGCTCAGTTGAAATAAATTACAGCCTATTTATACAATTCACTCTTGAAACTTTTTTATTTTCGGCTATTGAACCGAATTCATGCGCTTGGTGAATGTCAAAGTGTGCTACGTCACGATATCGCGGATAGCTTTTCTTCGGCCAACCTTCAAGATCATATACCGCGAACTATAGCACAAGACTTTATATGACAGTTACTTAATTCAAGAATTTCCTTCTTACAGCTATTTAAATGTATTCCCTGTTTATCTGATATGAAATAACGCTATGGCAAATACTAGACAGGTAAACACCGCCATCTAACTAAATAAAAAGTATTAATAAGAACACAACTCACCCCTCCGGTAGACGCGCTTTTGCTGCCGTCTTTGGGGGCGGCTTTACCCTTGGGCTTGACGAGGTCGGCCTCGGTCTTCGGGCCGAGCAGGGTAAGAACTTGCATGTCCACCTCAGCTTTGACGCTCTTACCATCAGCAAAGCGTAGCGCATTTGAAGCTCTCGCTTCACCCAGGAGTGCGCCAACATTGTATCGGTAACGCTGGTCGATTAATGCGCTTTTGTGGCGCGTGATGATCTCTTCCACAGCCTTCTCGATTTGTTCGGGCGTTACTACGATATCAACACCGCTAACACGTTCAAACTCCTAACAAGGAATAGGTAAGGTTATTGGTAGATGCAGATAAAGCCGGGTTTACATTAAAACACACAAAAATAAATATACCGCCTTTTCTTTAGTTAAGGAAGGTTCTTATATGTAATAACGCAAAGATTTAAGAATACATAGAATTGAATAGATTGATTTGTATTTTGAATTCGAAAGATCTGCATTGTGAACTCATTACGTATATTATATATTAAACACCTGTTACAATATTTCTAAACATCGATATTTGACGAAGAGGTGCACGTCGCAGTGAAAAAACGTTCTACTGAGGTCGTTTTACTCATTCTTGTTCGAACGGAAAGTACGAGCATTACTGAATACTTGCAGTCTTTGTATGTAACTATTTGCGCCGGATACGAATGTCCTGTGCAAATTTTAACACGAGCATATGGTACTTTTTCGTTGTATGAGCCCTACCTTTCGATCGAAGTCGCCCTGCGGATGCGAAAGAAGAAAATCAAGGGCAAATCCAACCTTTACTTCAGAGTCAATTTTCCCATTGGCAATGTACTCGACAAGCAAAGGAAGACGCCCACGAGCCTGAGCCTTAATCTTCGAGCATGCAGTGTAAACAAGATTGCAAACTGTTTTTGGTATAAGTTTGCCTTCAAGAATAGTCGATACCTGTGAGTCGAAAGACGGCTATAAAAAGTAAGTGAAATTTTTTTGGCTTGCAAGGCTATCGCCGGAATAACATTGTTGAGAGAATAACGGCAAGCACTGCCGTTGGTTTAACATCCTAATATTGTAACCAAACTGGTCTCATTTATCGCAAGTCAAAATTGGTACGTCGAGAATGAATAATGTTCATTCATCTTCATCAACATATTATCCCGTGTCATAGATGGATTAGATTTTGCCAATAAAAATAAAACTACTTCAACCAGATACCATGAAGATATTTATTTACAATAAATAGCAAAATGACAGATTCTGAATACTATATTTTATACGTATATAAGCACCGATGCATTGAGTTTCTAAGTCTTAAACTTAGGTGGCGACTTTAAGGTACTTCACATATGCCCTACGGATAATAATTTGCAAACTAACGCGAATCAAATAGGCAAAAGATATTAAAAAGTTTCGTCAGTACCGCAACATATAAGTAGAAATCAAGACTGCTAACATATCTTAGGCAAAAATCTTTCTGGCAAGTTTTATGCAGACTTACCTATCAATCAAAATATATCAGAGTGGGCGGCAAGAATTATAATAAAATATTTCATACATACCAGATACACAGGGAATTATTGTGTAGTATTCGATTTGGTTCTATTTAGGCTCTAGTTCGTTACTGCTACAAAACTATTGCGGTATATTAAACACCACATGACACGTGTTCCCGCAAGTTTCACATCCTTACGCGCATTTGATGCTGTATTTACTTGGGCAACATTACTATTATGTAAACGAACCAGAAATGATACCTGACAGCCCCTAAAATATTATCAAAGATGGTAATTGTACACGTAGCACCACCCCTTTCAGACCGGGACTTATCGGTAGAACTGAATATGGTGAACTAACTCACCCATAGAGCTGATCCGCGTAAAAGGACCCCACTCAGCCCATACCGTATGCGTTATTGGTACTATTCTTATTTTTTTATATGTAGTTATTTAATGCTAAAGAAAATCACTGACACTTGCAGAAAATTATCATATGCATAACTATACTACATGATGTAGATAATGTGAAAGTTTTCGAACCTGGACAGCGCTGTCTATCAGTGCTCCTGTGAGAATCTCATTCTTTAAGGTTTCATGCGCCTTCTGTTCGGTCAGACCGAGATACATTAGCTTGCTCACTTTATCAGTATCTGCCATAGTCTTCGTTTAACAGTACAAGACACGCACGATACACTAAACTATTCGCACCGTAGACTCTGAAACTTTTCTTCACACTAAGACTTCATTCTATCCGGCGCAAAGCTGTACACCGGTACTTTCTACGTGAAGTTCACAGAGTATAACACAGCTTTCTGCTGAGCGCATGCAGTGACCCGGCACGTTCTATGTAAACCTTAGGCGCCCATTGTAAACATTGCAGCAGACGACGTGCACATAACCGCAGCTGCTCGCGTAAGTGTGAACAAAAAACGTATTCAAGTTGCCCCTTCGAGCAGATAAGACAACATGTCATTGAATTTTCTCGCCTTAATTTTACAACCATTAATTCTGCACGTACATGTGTTCCTTCGAATCAGCCCGTTTATCGTATCGCACAGAGATACCGCATACACCGTCTCATATATATCTAAGCATATACAATGCAACATAGACGCCCTGTTATTTTCCCCGGAAACGATTTCTAGATATAATAAAGCACTAAGTCTTTTCATCCGCTATAAACATGCCTTGTACATCTCACCCACATATGAGATTGCCTTTTTCGTGGCTCTCTCGTACAGTTCGTGCATCCTGAGAGACATTTCCTTTGCATACGTACTATTATTTAAACATTTACTATAGCTTTAAATGCTAGACCAACGGCCTTGCTTTCTGGCAGCTTCCGGGTGCTCGATCGATCAGCACCAGCTCTCTAATCCTGATCAGCTGACGGTAGTATCGTCGTTCGGCTGTGAAAGTGTTTTTTGTGTTGTTGGCCGCATTGACGGAAGACGTCACCAATTTTATGTTCTGTTTGTAACCGCCGCCGCCTGGTCTCGTCTGGTGACTTGTTTAGTGTCTAACACCAGCTTTGGCGCTGACGCTGGTCGCCAGTGGTATTTGTCGGCGGTCTATCAGCAGCAGCCGTACAGTGACTGACACTAGTCGTTGTTGTCTGTCTGTGGCGAAGGGTCTTGCAGCAGTCGTCACCACCGTAGGTAAAACAGCAGTACGGAGGCGATAACCTGCTATCCGACATCGTCTAGGGACTGTGCGTGTGTGCCTCCGTCTGTGTGATGAAAGCAAGCTTATTGGTCGTGGCGGTCAGCATTAACTGGAGCTATCGCCGCGTCTGCTTGCCAGCCGCTGTTTCAGCCAGTATAATTTTGGAGACGCAGGCCACGCTATTATTATGTTACGGTGTTGGAACCAAAAGCAGCAGCAAAAGTCAAAAGCCGACTTTCTACAAATGCCAGAGTTGTTACATGAGCACTGAATGGAGCCGGCAGTATTTAGGTTAAATGTTTTGGTTCGCGTGCTATTGAGGAGTGCATAGGAGAGTTTGGAGATCGGCAACCACACGAACACAGCATAGGACAGTAATCATGGTTTGTTTGCTTTAGTCGACACCACATTGCTGATTTTCAATTAATCGAGCTTTTAGGACGTTTGGTCTCAGCAGCAAATAGTTAGTGCTATTGTTGGATTTTGAGCACGACGTCGGCTTTTGTCGACAGGGATGAATTGACAATAATTAAAGCCGAGTGATTAGCAAAGAGTCAAAGAGAAAAAAATAAACGTAAGCTCGTATAGGCAGTTAACAGAAGCACCAACAAAACGTAACCATCGAAAGGATCCAAAGGCTTCAAATTGTCTCATGGCCTCATCGCGTTTTCGCAGTATTGTTTAACCGAAGATTCTACTACAACTCCCTCGAATTCATATTGCTGTTGTTACTCTGACATAACAGTTTCTGCCACGCAGCATTTTCCTACCCTGGTATCCACTACGGGAGATACCAATAAGACAAAACGTCGATAAATAGCTCAAAAGTTCGTGCTTTTGTCAAAGTAATCTTAGTTTGCCTCTAATGCCTGCTTGTGGGTAAGCAGAACTGTGAAGTGGTTGATAGCTTGTGTTTCCTCAGTGGTGTGTAAAAAGCCGGCACGGCGAGAGCGGACGAAACGGAACATGTTCGGAAACTCCTCCAAAATAGAGAACAGTGAGTTAACATCTCCGAAAGCCTGCAACTTGGTCTAAATGAAAAAGGAGGACGATATTCCATATACCGGATCAGCAACACTAACAGGTGTAGTTCACAGCGAAACGACTTGTAGCTGAAATACGAGCGTTCCGTTCTCGTCGTGAGTTGAGCTTCATAAGGCGGTAGTGAGTTCAGAAGTAGTTGTTGAAAGAGCAACAACAAAAGTTGTCAAAATTATGGCATCTAAATTTCAGTATGATGAAAGTGGAAGTACGTTCTTTTATTTTTTGCTCGCCTTTTTGGCAATGGTAATCTTACCCTGTACGTACTATCTATGGCCACGAAAACCAAAAGAAGACGTTGAGGAGGACAAAAAGAAATGTCAATGCCCACCTTGTCAGACGAAGAACGCTCGACTTAAGGAGATTGCCCCATGGACTAAAACAAAAAATAGTATCATTCGCGTCCTAATAATTATTGGATGGATTGCGATGTTCGCATGTATCTACAAGGTAAGATCCTGGTACCTGTTAGTAAAGTATTAGGTATTGTCGAAAGCAGTTAAAAAAGCGCGACAAAACAGGTGAGGGAAAAATATATTAGATGATAGACCGAAGTGAGTGGTCAAAATGATTGTCACACGGCTTTGGTGACTTCAGTAAGATTTCTGAAGAAATAGGCTTCAACCTAATCTAATAATTGCCGAAAGATAATACATGTGCAATACATCGATGTATGGTACAAAACAATTTTATGAAACATCATTCAAGAATGAAACAGCTTCAGCAGGATGAAATTTATATTATATTGTGTATTAATTTAACTAATTTTACATTCGAATTTTACTTAAAGTTGGGAATTAAAATAACACTTGCTAGCTAAAAATAAAAAGCTAAAAGTTTGAATAACTTTACCTATATAATTATTAAGTATAAGTATTTCTTTCGTAAAACGTCCTTATGTTCTAGGATAAAAATGAGCTTCGACTATATTTGTTTTTAATGTCTTGTATAATGCTAGCCTTTCAGAAAGTTGGCTAGATCATTAACAAAAAGCTTATGGCAAAACATTTAATTTAGTCCAGTATTAATTACATGTTAACAACCTATGATTGGACGATGTGAGGCATTATGTACAAACTGCACAGCCTTTTTAACTAATTAATCCTTTGTTATATATATATATAATAGAATTATTAATTATTATCTAATTAAATAATTAACTAAGAGGGAATTCAAATGGTTGCATATGCTTAGCTTGACTAATACGAATAAATAAAGAAAATATAAGGTTTTCAGGAAGGAATTATTTTACTAGATTAAGTCTGAAGCATAAAACATCCTAACCAGTAAACAAATTATAGCAGGTCAAGTATTGTCACAACATAGAAAAACGGTCTGGATTTTAAAAAAGTTTCTTGAAAGGTGGCTGATTAGCGACAGAAAGATACTAACTGCCTGGTCATAATTGCCAGTTGGAATCCAGTCGATTCGATTGCCTTGATTTCTTGTTAATTCTGACGGAACTTGTTTCAAGAGCAGCCGTTGTTTTTATGAGAAGAGAATTGTATTACCGTAGATATTTGAAATGTCAGAATTCCACAAAAAAACAGAGCAGTACTTACCAAAGTAATGCTTGGGAAAAGTTTAAAACTGGATTTTATAGAAAAAGTGGAGCCAATGCTAGTATTTGGATTGTATCCGTTGTGTTTTGCTTCACAGCTTGGCCTGCGTATACCTATTTTATGCCTGTCTCTGCAATACTGTCGTAACATGTTAACAGTGTCGCACTAAATTATATGCTAGCAACATCGTTCTTGTCTAGGTATCCTTGCATATGAATTGTATATCTCATATTGTTATGTAACCTGAAATATGCCAATATCTGAGTAACTGCCAGCTTTAATATTATTTCTGCTAATAAGTGAATAATATAACTTATACTAGCAGGTAATATTTCGGGACAAATATGTCGTCCTTTTGTGTATATGCATTTGATACTTGAATAGAAAGAGGGACATATTCGATATTGACCAGAGTCTGTTGGTACAAACCTTTATATCGATATTTAATATCTATCCAAATTATGGTTATATCTAACGGCTTAGAATCTAAAAGAACCGACAGGTGGCATTACTCGAATTTGCACAAGACTACACATCTAAAAATTTCAATATCTAAATAAAATATAAAATCACAGATTGGAGTTATTCATGTGCGAATTGATTTTTCTTATTATTCTCGGACGGTTTTTAATAGTGTGACTTACTGTCTAGTTTTCTTCTCTAGATTTAAAATCGTGATCTGAGCGGGTGGAGAATACCAATATTTCTGGCACTAAAATGACTGTAGTTCAGGTAAATACGGAGGGGATAGCCAGTCATCCCAAAGAGGATTAAATTTAGTGCGTCCGTGACGCGGTGGATTTTTGAGGCTTACAACCTACAGTTGCGTGTTCCATGCCAGTGCTATTGAACATCTTTAGTGAAGTTCAGTCGGCGTCGAACCGACTGCATTAGTCTGTTCACAGGCGTCGTCGATTGTTAGTCTGAGTTAGCTCAACATTATACAGGGTGATTCAATGCTGAACATTTGTAACGATTATCCGGAGAGTAGCGTTCGTATATGAATCGCAAAACGAGTGTTAACTTGTTGATGATAAAAATGTATGCTCACAGCCATGCGCTTTAACGCATTTACTAATTGATCAGGCATGTTTTCATTTGCATTTGATTCACTATTTACTGTGTACTGATAGCGATCTGTGGCTGAGCGAATTTCATCAGCGTAGATATCAAAGCGCAAAACATATTAATATTGTATGGTTCTACATACGCACATGTAAGAGCATGGTAAAATTTGTTACAATCATGTCCAGAACTCAAGTACCCCACCGAGTGTTTTTTTCTATATCACAGTTCTCTCTATATAACTGTAATAATACTGAAAAAAAAATTGCTCACTCCATGGTCACAGGTTAACAATTTTACAGTAAAGTGCGTTCTGCGAAATATATTTTAGTACGCATAATGTATAAGTGTAAAGAAACTGACGATTTCAATTTCATCACTATTTCTAGCTGCTCTGTTCAACTATTCTATTGCACTTTTTTCACATGCAAAACTTACCCATTCTAGAGTAGAACGTTAAAATCCTGATTATTTTTTGCTTAATGTCCAACTTTGTAAAACTATCAATTTTTTTTTTTGGATAGATTTTTTTTATGGCCAAATTACAGCAACTGACCTCGGTTGTCAAAACTGTTTAACAAATATGCTCTACGCTTTCGATAATATGAAACCTGCTTATTTAATTATATTGAAATTATAACTATAACAGAGCAATCGGACGCCTGCAAGCAGCCATAAGAATATGCCTTATTTGCTCGTCATAAAGTATATAATTAAAATATTATAGGAGTAAGCAATTATTATTGCTATAAGTATAGCTACAACAAAATGAACTACCGTAGTGACAGCGATTGAAATTGTTAAAATTGAAAACAGCCACAGAGTTACAGGACAATAAATACTAATAATCATAATTAGCAATATTTTCTAGTACCAACGGCTGATATAACTTAAGGGATGTCGCATTTATTTGTTCTTACGTCGAAAATTGCATGAATACCGTGTGGTTTTGGTTTGAATAGAACCTATATAAAATAGTTAATTAACGAAGGCATTTTACAAAATGTCTGAATACTCTTGTTTAGCTTTCGAGCCATTGCCGTGTATATAATGTTCAGTGTCGTTTCATTGCTTACTTGATTTCAGGTTAAACACCTTGAGGACACGTGGGTAAAATGGGATCCGTATGAGATTCTCGAGTTGGACCCTGGTGCGACTACCGCGCAAATAAAAAAAGCCTATCGCCAGCTCTCCCTTATCTATCATCCAGACAAACAGGAAACAGGTGATGATGCTAAATTTATGAAGATCGCAAAAGCATATGCTGCTTTGACGGACGAGGAGGCCCGGAAAAACTGGGAAACCTATGGAAACCCAGACGGACCTGGTGCCATGTCATTTGGCATCGCGTTGCCGTCGTGGATTGTCGAAAAGGAGAATTCATTTTGGGTGCTTGGCGCCTACATGTTGGTGTTTATGATCGGTTTACCCACAGCTGTCGGCGTGTGGTGGTACCGCTCCGCGAAGTATGGCGAAGACCTTGAAGTTCTACTTGACACAACGCAGCTGTACTTCTATTTTATAAATCGTACATCGCTGATGACACTGAGACGAGTCGTCATGATCATTGCAGCATCACTCGACTTTAAGTCTGACCACAATCCCGAAATGAAAATGCGGCCTACTGACAACGAAGAAATTCCACAACTCATCAAAAAGATCGAAGATTTTGGCGAGAAGAATCGTGAGCCTCCACTGAACTACGAGTACTCAATTAAGGCAAGAGCATTGTTGTACGCTCACCTGCTGCGACTGCCTTTGAACGCTGGCGCCGCCAAAGACATGAGGTATATCGTCAAAAAGTGCCCTGTTCTCCTTAGCGAATTCGTCTCGTGCACAGCTCAGCTGGTAATGCTAAACCTCAATGGTCACATACCTCGTATGCCTAAGCTAGAGACGTTAGAGAATGCTATCAAGTTATGCCAGCTCGTCGTGCAAGCCTTGTGGGAGAATCGCAATCCGTTGCTACAAATCCCGTACGTGCACGAGGAGCATTTACGATATTTTATAGCAAGGAAAACCCATATCCGAAGTATCGATCAGTTGCGACAGCTGAGCGAAACGAAGCGACGTGAAATACTACGTTTCCTGGACGACACGCAATACCTTGAGGTTCTTAAATGCCTCGAGCGGATGCCATCGATCGAGGTCCGTTACAAGCTCGAAGTTATCGACGATGAGGATCCCGACACGATCACGGCTGACTCATTAGTAACGTTGACGGTTACGATGCGAAGACGTAAATGCGATGAGGTGCTCAACCGCACTGAGGAAGAGATCAAAGAGGAAAGGGATGACGATAAACCAAAACAGATTAATTGGCTCAAGAAGGGACAGAATAAGAAAGCCGGAGGCAAGAAAAAGGCAAAGGTAGGTGTATTTCGTTTAGTATACTCGTATGTTAAATGTGCTCCTTTTGTTTTAATTCGGAGCCACTGCATATAGCTGTGGCAAGAGCTAGCTTACAATATCCAGTATCCTTAGCGAAAACAACCTCGAACTTGATTACTAAGCGTCCTTGATTAAAATACTAACGCTTACTGCATGCAACCATGTTTTAGAGCAAAAAACCGACAAACGTACGAATTGTCAGCAAAGTTACCGAGGAGGGCGACAATGATAGCGAAGAGGAGGAAAGTAAGGAAAACAATGTTCCCCGCGAGAACGGAGTCGAATCAGCGACTGACGCTGGGCGCGAAAGTCGGGCTTCTCATAAGGACAATGAAAGTGGTGACGGAAGTGGCAACGAAGGCACAGAAGTTCGGCAACGGCTAAAGCCGTCTAGCCAGGGCAAGGATAGCGACAGTGACGCCGAGGGTGGTAACGCTCTCAAAGTTGTTGATAAAGATAGAGAATCAGATTATGAAGAAAAGTTGCATTTTGACGACGTCAACGCAAAGAAAAAGAAAAAGAAGAGCATGGACAAAATTCCTAAGATCTCGCATTCGGTACATGCCCCATACTTTCCTGTGGATAAACAGGAGTTCTGGTGGGTGTACCTCGTCGACAAAAAGCAACAACAACTAACAACGGTACCGTTCCTTATGACGAATTTGGTCGAAGAAGAGGATGCCATTCTGAAGTTCTCTGCCCCACATCGGCCCGGCACTTATCACTACACCTTGCATGTGAAAAGTGACTCTTACGTTGAGGTGAGTAAAGTTACTGAAGTACACAACACATCGTTCGCTAAAAGCTAGACACTATTTTATTCTGAATCGTCCAGGAGATTTGGCTCGTAAAATTTTGTTAGGCTGGAAAAAGCGAATCAGTGTTCGAGCTTCTCAAATTCAAGAATCATGTCCCATAGATATAATACACAAAGAGCTCGTTTTCACAAAAATGGAAATTTTTACAGAAACTTTATTTGGTGATATAGTAAGCTTACATATTATATAGTTTTTGAAGTTGGACAAAACAGTAGTTAACAAACTACCAAAAAAAGAAATATCAGGCAAAGTCAAGCAACAACGCAAAAAATTGTACAACTGAAACCTACGACCTGTGGCCGAGCTAAAAAAAAAAAAAGCATATCGCTGAAGTTCATTTTCTTAAGGTTTTTGCTACAGGTGCATAAGTTTCCTAGGTGCCCATGATGCAGACAGAGCATTATGGGCACATAAGAAATTTCGAAGCATAAAAGCCATTCGAACGGCATCACGCGGCATGTGTGACACATATAGTATAAGTTACGACAGTCATGATTGATTTCCGTTACCTGGAAGCGCGGTCAATTCGTGTGGTGGCAGCATTTAAAAGAAACAGTGCGGCGGGCGAATCGTCTATATCTTGAATTAGCATGGTGTAACTGCGATCGCGACCTTTAGTATTTTATATAAACCCCGTTAATACTGAATATGATTTTAGGTAAAGATAGTGCCTACTAGCACTGCTTTATAAAGTAATACAACAAATGAGTATCCCGAGTTGGTCTCATAAAAATTATGGTTCATTTGAGGCCTACTTAAAGATGGTTATACACAAACCAAAAATCTCTTTTCGAGAACGTAATATAATTAAGCAAAATTTGCGAGAGGAAATGCGATCGTCAACGATGCCTCGGGTTGTCTGGTACTAGGCTATTCCTAATGTTTTTTCAATAGTAGCAATCAACTCTTGGAAGACCACTACTCTTTAAAGAGTTCAGATCGTTTGTTAACATTGTCTTCTGTTGAACGCGGTGCACAATTACATTTTTCTGGGTATAGCGATAAGTGTGTTGTTCTATGTAAACAATTGATTCTTCCTGATTTGTTGGGTCTGCTGTATTGTTACCTTTCAATGTTGATTATTCTCGAATTGGCTACGCTGTCTACAAATGTGGCCAAACAATTACGTTACGAGGTAGAAAAAGACGGGCGTCGTGAAATGAAAACAATGGTTAATCGAACGCGTCGAATTCGAAATAAAGGCGGAACGCACATCTCAAGGTCACAAAGCTGTTTCCGTGGTTGCGATTTTCTAGATTTGTAGGGTGGCTGAACTCTGACAAATGCCGCTCTATTAGAATATCTGAGGCACGACAACATTATTATAGATTGGTAATAATGTTATCAACAAAAGATTATACAAGGACGCAGTAACAACACAGTCTCTATAAGGTCACAAGAGCCTTCTATATTAACCATCCTTTAACACTTTACTATGAACTTGGCTTAGTCATCAGTAAAAAATCAATAGCGACAAAGCTTTTTGCTTTTCTCAGGTGCTTTTTGTTCCCTGACTGTGTTTGGACAGACATTTTTTTGTTTCATGAGAAGGTTATTTTGAGTAAAACTGGCGATCGTGACGCATGCTGCTAGATGAAGATCCCTTGACCTTCAGTGACAGCAGTCACGTTTAGGTTTTACGCTTTTAGTTGAATTGGATGGGACTAATCACGTATTGGTAGTATTCTTTAGCACACAGACAGCCACTATAAAAGAAAGTCGTAGAAGTTGCTCCATCGATTGTTAATAAAGTAATAAGTTGTTATCGGTGCTAAAAGCGTTTTCGAACACAATCGGAACCAAGAAATTGTACACAATGGCTTGAATGTAGAGTATCCAGGATAGTTGCGAATCGAGTGTTTAACGGTGAAATATCAGTTGCAAAGCTTAATAGAAAACGACCAACCAGTATGGATCATCAGTTCATGCCAGCGTAGCAAAACCTAATTCGACTTTGGTAGGAAAAACTATTATGTCAGTTATCAAATTAATTCTTATATATATATATATATAATATTAATGATATATTAAATGCCAGCTATGCCCTTTGCCGTTTGCTGCTTTTACTTATGTTGCCTTGTTTAGGATTTCGACCAGCAGATTGACGTCAAGATCGAGGTAAAGCCAGCAAAACCAGTTGTCGAATCTCACCCACAGTGGGAGGCCCTCGATGAGGAGTCGGAAGTGGAACTCGAGGATTCGGCAGTAGAGGATTCTGATCTCTGCAGTAATGACGAAATTGATTCAGATAACGACGACTAGAGATACCTATTATCGCTACTATTGGAAGACCTAGACTAAAAATAACTAGACCAAGCTGTGTTCTTTGTTGACTTATCTTTGTGACTTATCTTTGAAAAATCATCGACAATGCGAACATACTTATACACACGCATTGTTTCGACTGCCATGTCGTGTCTGAGGCATTGATTCGCGCGTCGGTGGTCTTATGCAGCGGCCACGAAATATTTCTGTATCGCACCATGTAATCATCCCATGTAACCATGTATCAATGACATGTTGGTGTATGTATCAAATATATCGACGATTGCTCGAGGAACATGACAAAAAAGCGTTTCATCCTGTTTCGTTTTCTGGCCGACATATGTTTTCTCCTTCGGGCTCAAAATCTAGGATATGTAATTGTTGCTTTACGGATTTAACCATATTTTATCATGACAGACAGAGCTTGCTGTTAACTGGTTTTTCATCCTCTTGGAGTTCTAGTAAATTTGATATACGGTTACATTAATAGCGTACTGAGCGTAATTCTTACCAAATGTATCCAAAAACGCGCAACATGGGGAAGATATCATTATATTAGGGAACATGCCAACCGGATAAAAGGAATCTTAATACGTCTAGAAATATTTAAAACATTTCGAACAAGGCCCCCAAAAGGACAACACACGATATCCTAAAGCATTTTATATGTTACTCATAAGATGTGCTTGAGATTTTTGACGTGATATAGAACTGCGTTTGAATCAATAGTATCAACATAAAATCGGATTAAAAAACAAGTTATAGTGTACACGAACTTGGCCCTACATTGCCTCAGACAAACGTTATGACTGCTGCAGCCATTATCAAAACAGCCGAGAAAAGACGAGACTGCTATTAGGCGCATACTTTTCTGTCGACATAGGCGGCGATTTTGTCCTTCAACAGAGATGACAAAACAATGAGACGAAGTCTATCTTCTTATGAAGCGAACTACAAATCTCTTAGGAAGTAAAAAGAGCCGATTTACTATTAAGGTGATGATCAATATTATATATATTGATAATTAAAAAAGATTTTGGTATATTTTACTTTCTGAGTATTGCACTTTCCTAGGTAACCTGTCAGCGGATGAAATAGAATGAGGTTACGACGCCTATTTTATTTCCAACTTTTGAGAAGCTATTTGCAGTTGAAGGCAAGTGCTATCTGAATTGAAAATATCAATTGAGGTGTAAATGCTTTTCAGGTATCTGACTCTCATTTATCGGATGTATGTGATCTTTCATTTGGGCCAATTTGAATGTAGAAGCTAATTAAATTTATTAGATCTTTTAGGCAAGATCGTTCTCACAACCAACTTTTAAGGTCGGTCCATACTGGTAAGGACTTCAATTTTTTATTTATACGTACGGATAACGTCGGTCAAGATTTTTTAGAAGCCAAAAAAAGCTCTTTGGAAGATTAATCGCAATACAGTATTTTTTGAATGCATTTTTAGCAAGTGTTCGATATTTTTGCTATGCAGATATTTCCTATAGATATATTACTGAAACACTTGGAACAGGTGTAAACTATGAATTTGAAGTGTCAAACTAGTGAAAACAACAGACGACGTTACCGAAGGGGTGATCAGTACCCGTTATAAACCATGATTAGTTTCTTCTTTTAAAATTTACTAGCTTTTTAATAGACATTCAGCATACGTTTACAGGCAAGAAAGCTATCACATGGAGTGTCTCTTCGTTAAGGCAGTCTGTTACTGGTATGGTATCGTTTGCGATACGCAGGACAACATATAAGGTCAATTGAAAGATAAAATTTATAGCATTAGCATTCTGGATTATTCAAAAGAACCTGAAATGGTCATTTACCTCAAATTCAGCTCTACAATCTTTAAATAACTGATACCAATTTCTCTGCAAAGAGCCATATTATTCCATTATTCTATAATAGTATGTTGCGTGGAACAACTCAGACAGCAAAACCACATTTTTATCATACCCATCAGTGGCCTCACCTCAGTAGAGGAAAGCACTGTTTCATAAATAGTGGATTCCCATCCCTATCTGTAACCCCTTAATAAGCTAGTTGCCTGCGACGAGTCAGGATTTTGCAAAAGGTACATCTCTGATTTGAGGTACAGTTGTAGGATAAGATTCATAGCATTAACACCTCGGATTCCGCCGCGAAAAGACGATAATATTATCCACAATAAACACTGCGATTTTGACATAAATACAGTCGTAACACAGTAACACATCCCAAAAAGGAAAAATTAGATAACGTTCTAGTGGTTTCTCTATCTAGAGCCTGAAGCATTGTTTTGTTTAATTAAAAAATGTACTTCCTTAAACTATGACATCCACGATTAACAGTTATAATGAGAACCGGTTGCTCTTTCTTCAAGCTCATTTATTAAATTTGAACAGATTAGATGTACCTACGGACCGTACAGTACCTGCATCGCCATCGGTTATGAAGGCTAAAAGGCGTGGCTTTCTATAGCAGCTAACAGTCGTATGTGTGTCTAGAAACACGCCGGCTCCTAGCTGATCCCATCGTCGATTCAGATTTGACCCTACACACCCTACATCAATCATTATACTGGTTTCCATCTTATTTCGCCTTCTTTTAGTTATTTTTTACGTAAGACTGCTTACTTTATGCAAATGTCTGTATTCAAATGTGTCTACTGTAGTTTCACTATTAGTTAGGCAAGACTGGCTCCGTTGAGCTTTACGTTGGGCCCTAAATATCCAAAAATGATTTATTTTGATTAGTATTTAAATCGGTCCATTTCTACACAAAGAACACATTATCTTCAATTATGCATAAGTTAATATCATCTTTTTCGTTTTGTTTAGCTGTTTACTTTTTACTACGATAGTGAATAACGAGTAAATATTCATATCAGATATGGCTAATGCGGTTCCTTCCTGCCTGCTAGGTTCCTTTACAAACGACTAACCCAATTCAAATACACCTAATCAGTGAACACAAGAGTAAGTTATTTACAAATTTGTGCTAGGTCCGATTACAGTGGTCTGACAATGTGGGTTTATAATTATGGCGAATGTGATAAATTACGTGAAGAAAGTGGTACTAACAAATATAGTACGTGAAATATTATTGTACATTTATATATTTATTATTAATATTGTATGTAAATTATCGGTATTATTATTATTAGTATTAATATGAACTGCCATCCTAGTGCAAACTCATATGTGGCAAGTTACTGCAAGCGGCAAGAATGTATAAGAACGCACTGACCTTCAAATCAGTCAACAATTCATACCAACACCGAATAGTATTAATTAAAATAATTATCATTGTGAATTACCGAAAAGTTTATCGATGTTACCAACAAGATATATATGTGATTCGGTTTAATTTTCTGTGTGCGCGTTGTCAGTAAAAAGACGATATATATTATGTATCGATTGTCTTTTTATTGACAACGCGCGCACAAAAAATTAAACCGAATCACATACATGTTTGCTCTGGATAAGATGCGTGATACTGCTTCTTACTTGTATCAAGTAACGGCAGTTGTCAAGTGCCACTAGCGAAAGGTAAGCCTTACTCGCACGTTCTTGATTTCTCACTGTCAACAATTCTTACCACATTTTACCGATAATACATTAGTTAACGATCATATTTTTTATCCCTATTATTGTTATAGGCATATAACGGCAGAGCTTTAACTATTGCGAATAGCTGAAGCTTAAGAGATAATTAATAGTGGCTAGAGATTCACTATTTATGGGCTGATTAACTAGGATGCTGTATACAAATGCTACGTGGAATGACATGCTATGGAACCTTTAGGAAAGTGTCGTTAACGACGAATTGCGAGTCCCGCAATCCTTGTTATCAAGCTTTTGCACAACGGTATTGCATCGCCACCGAACCTTTAATACTATAAATAGCTGCCACTGTGCAATACAATACTCAACAACCTCTCCAGGGCAACGCTTTGAAGCTACTGTTGTTACAACAGAATAGTGGGTTCAGCTGTTCCAAAAGCTTTTACCTATAAGGTTCTGTTAACAGAGGGGACCGACTCAAGTGATTGCGGCTCGGACGTCGACGAAGATGAGTTCGATGTTGATGATGTGCAGGCATCTGAAGAGTTCGACTCCTCACAGCTGTCGTAGTCGTCACTGTCGTTTGCTGAAGTCGATGAAGCAGCCTCACTTTCATCATCCGAATCTAAACCGGCCGCCTCTCCTATTTCAATTGCATTTGCTGGAAGCTGAGTTTCAAACGCATTTCGAGCACTTTCAGCCGCTACCTCCAACGCATTTACCATCTGTACGCACGACGGCATAACATTGCTACCAGTAGACAGGCTTTCCATCTGAATAGTAATGATCGTGCAAAAGATGGAAAAGGCGCGAAAAAGTTATAGTTTGTAACCAACTAACATGAAAATTCGGGGCTGAATTAGAAGGCCTAACTAGGCGATACAAAGCTGTATTAAATGAAATGACCACCCGAGGTCAAAGCAATTACCTAAAATACGATGAAGTATAAAAAGATACGTGTTGTATATTACGGAAGTTTCCGACATGTAATTTAGTTACTTTTCAACTTACCTCCTGCTCAAGATCCACCAGTTTAGCTGCTTCTTCTAAGCGGACAAGATCAAGACACAGTTCCTCCTTTGTAACCGTGGTCTGTCTCATCTTATCAGCGATTTCCAGCAATCGCTCATTCTTGCATTGTCTCTGAAGCCAAATCATATAGTCTTTGATGTAGAGTTCATTGAGAATATACCTAGCATCCGCATCGCGTTTCAATGCATTATGGATATCGAGGAGACACTTAAGCAGCTGTTTTCGTCCTGTGCGAAAGATATCAGCAACATCCACCCAACATTGCAAAGCCAGATCGAAATGACGATATAGAGGGTAGATTAGAGCTCGCCGAACACAGGAGTTCATCACAGACTTCATCGAAGTAAACTCCTCAAAATATGAGAGCGTCGATGAAAGCTTTGCCATCGTCCAACCTATCATACATTTATATGAAACAAACAACGAAGATATTTAAAGACCTAAATCTTTCTCTCATCCATTATTCAATTTGCTTATTTTTAATATACCACATAAACTACAAATTCATTCGCTTTTTGTCAGTGTTGACCCACCCAGTAGTGAAGAGCAATAGAAAGACCAAATCGAAATTGTTGTGACAATATGCGGTCTTCGAAGGTACAGAGTCAGAAATCCTGATTACGGATTCAAGGCAAATCCAGAGAGAAAAGAAGAATTTAAAAGATTGCAGCAGACACTCTGAGCGTCAATTAGAAATGTAGTATTATAAAAATGATAATAAAAATGTGCACCTGATTCGGAGTGTAATTCGCCCTCACTGACACGGTTATGATATGCCCATGCAAAAATTAAGTCTACAAGACCAAGAATGCATCTCAGCTTGTCTCCTTTTGTCATAAGATAACTTCGGGCAGATAATCGCGTCAGCAATTCTCGCTCATTCGCATCAAACTCGAAGTCCTGTAATAAAGGAAATGTGTATATAAATAATTTCGTATGTCGAAGGTAAAATTTAGAAAATTACCAACGATACCTGGATAAAAGACGAGTATGCCATTCATACAGGCTTATACCTCGTAGAACAACAGTCAAAATAGCAGTCGAACGTTTTATTTAAGAGAACGCTATCTTTTGTGCATGAAATCATCATCGTTATAAAATATATAATAAGATTCTTCTAACCCAATAGACTACAACAAAACTATTACTGCTGAAAGCGTATGCCCTAATGAATGTAACGATGGATGATTTTCAAAAATGTTCAAACCTTTGTAAAATCGAGCTGCATCGTGCGGACTTCCTCGATTTCTCCTAGTTCATCGAAAAAGTCATGGAGATAATGGTCATCGTCAAAATCGTTTTTCTCCCTTTCTAATCTTTCCAGGCGTGCCTCCTCTACTGATTTGTGTTCCGGATTTCTGAATTAGACACCAACAAATAATTCGCTGATTCTAATATCATGACTATTAGTTGCCGTTGAAGCAATATATGTCAGATAAAGTGAAACATTATTCCCCCTAGTTCCGCCGTCAGATAGAAAAGCATTACAGTACATTATTTTCTAGAAAATTCGTAACATACCGGATATCGCATACGTTCGGCAGATCCTCCTGCATTCGGCCAATGACACCAGTTTTGCTACGATTGAACCCATATGCCCGGCTATTCAGACTTGCTGCTCCTTCATCAAATGGAACCTGCTCCACTTGCCAGATATCTCCATCTTTGTCGTCAAGTACCTCATTTGGAGCTACGAGTTTTAATCCGAGTAAATGAATAACAACACCAAAGTGATACAGTTAAAACAGCCAAAATGAGAGATAGGGAAAAAGTATATTTCCACTAGCATTCTTTTTAATATACACGTTGTATGAAATCATCGTTATAATGAATAATAATAACAATTAGTTTAATATTTGACGGCTCTTCTTACTGCTTTAATAAGACTATGTTGTTTAGTTTTCTTTGACATATGACCGAATACCAGTTGAAATGCTATTCGATAGAAAACTTAAACAGACTGACACACGTCTCAAAGTTCAGTAGATACAGCAGCCCGCAAATACTCAATAATACGTTCGTTGTAAATGTCGCATTTGTGTCCACAAGAATCTACTTCTTGGATAGCTCACTATATCGTTTATGAGACGGTTTGTAATTGGCTAAAGCGTTAAACACTGCCCGTGGTAGTACTAAGTACGTAAACGCTAGCAAGCTTACGGTACCGTTTTCGATATTTTCAATGAAAGGTTGTTGTGAAGGCTTGACCTTAGGAGCCAACAACTTTGTGAGCAGGTCGAGATCCTTGAAATGCTCCCCTGGAATTTCTTTTGGGAGCACGAGCTCAAACGTTCCTGTGTCCGCGTCGTACTTAGCTGTCGCATTACCGTTTTCGACAACGTTTCCCGGCAGGTTTAATCTGTGGTGAAAAGAAATATAATACATATCTCAACAAATTAGTATTGCTGTAATTTATGCCGTTTCTTATATTCAGAATGCCTTCACTTATAATTCCTGGAAAGCTAATCCGGTCGATCTGCGCTGAAGTATGCATTATCGGTATCATCCGAAGTTTATCGATAGTAACAGACTACTTTATCCTCTGCAACGGAACCCCCGTATACGTTGTGTTTCTTACCGGTGTGCTCTTACCGGAGAAAGTATGGGTCCGAATAGAATTTTACCTCATCGTCGATCACAGTGATATCGCACTTCTTTATCTGTAATTATATATATACATATCAGTAGATCATCTTAAAATAGATAGCTCAAGAAGCTCAAAGCCAGCTTCTTTTTTAACCACAATCACTGTCAATCACAAATGATAGACCACTCAAGCAAGCTCCGCAAGAATTACAGTTAAATTCAGCAGTGATTACAATTTGACTTGCAAGCAGACCAATTATTTGTTCATATCATTTAATATTTTCTTCTAATTTCTCTTCTGACCATTCCTAGCAGATATTTTTAATGAACTATCCTTGGTACCATTATACCCAGTACTCACGTTCGTATACGGTGCTTTTATAGTCAGGAACACTGTGTCGCTATCCTGTTTTAGTTCGAACACCGGAGTCAACATGTTCCTTTTATTTTGTATATAACAGTAAATCGTGTTTTTTCAGTGCGTATTGAACCCACACTATCGTCGCTATTCGTAGGCTCTCATTCAAGGCTCTGTTTGCTTTTGGTCAGCTGCAACTGTAGCAGCCGTAGAGCCACAACAGTGATATATGGGGGTCGCCATCTTTGTTTTTTGTCAGCATAGACACAGACACACTCGTTACACTTGCTTCTTGTCATGTCGTCCTCGAGTTGAACTAGACCAATGCTGCTGTCACCAAAAGGTTCAAATTTTGCCGCCAGATATGCGCCATGGAATGCTTTAGCAGCTGCGCGAACGGCTTCTATGGTGAACGGCGAGTAATGGTAGTGCTGCTGCCAAGGGCTGTGGTGGTCGTCGAGCTGGTCGTTAGTGGATAAGTCGGCCATCTTGTATTGCTCAGGAAGAGCGCTGCTGCTACTGTGCGATCTAGTGGGAAGTGCCTCAGCAGAATTAAATGTGGTAAAGAAAGTGATATAAGTGTTGACTGGTACTGATGGCGATGTCTTTTCCTGTTACCTGTAGTCGCAGCTTGATTGGTTGTTAGTTGGATTTTGTGTGCGTGCTAGTGAATTGCGTGGTTGCCGTTGCCGGTAGCGACGTTGGCTGTGACAGTGGTGGGTCGTGGTGATATCGGTGACCTCACTGGTTAGCTCGTGATGAACTGAGACGTGCTGTCATATAGTTCCTAGCAGGTACGCGTCTCTGTCAATTGTCGGCGGCTCGACATTGGTTTCTCTAGCTCACTTGCTCGCCCTCGAGTCGTCGCTACACTTTTCCGTCCAGGTGAGTACTTAACTGCTGTGCTACGTCAGACCTGCTGACTGACCTCCCCACATTAGCAGCGGTCTGCTAAACCATTCAGTCGATGGCTATCGCTGATTTTGGTGTGTTTCCGCGACGAAATCGAGACGGAATAGCTAGGTTAAATTTATATCAAGTCGTCTCTGTGCGTGTGAGTGTCGTTGTGCATCCCATCTGTAAGAGCAAGTAAAAATTGACAACTTCGTTCGTATTTGCGTGCTGAAACATTGGCGATGTTTTGTACAGTGCGTTCCGACGTACTCTTTTTTTCGATAAACGTAATGTTTCGTTCGTAATTTTGCGTCGCCGTCATTATACCGTCATTATGCCGCTGATGCAATACTGTGTGTTATCCCTACGTTAAACATTATCTTTTTCTCTATAGAGCAGCGACTCTTTAAGTGTAGCTAATTGTCTGTAACGATTTTCCATATGCGGTATGCTGCTGGGTGGATTATTTGTCGTACTCTGGCCACATGGACTTACTGTGATGTCGAATCGTTATCTAGATAGTATACAGGCAGATAATATCGATTAGTTTGCTGTATATCGTCATCAGCGGCATTACCGTCTTCCCTATCATCACCGTGCCGTTGCTACGCTTATTACCACAGTGTCGTATTCCACTCATGTCAATGGAGAGGAATCGCAGTATTCCTTAATGTGTCTGCTTTTCTGGCCGTGTGTCAGTGTGAGTATACTTTTGTGCGTGTGTTTAGCTATCGATGAGTCAGCCAGCCAGCCACAATCATCAACTTCTTTGTGCTCTGCAATAAGCTACGCGTCGACTGCATATTCTAGTCGGTGGTTTTATCAAGGCCCTAAGATAAAGGCGACGGCGAAGGGTACGACAGCGCAAGTAACCACCGGTGATGACGGCTATCGTTGTTGGTATCATTTGATTGAGCATTACCAGTGGTATTTATTAAGGCAGCAGTTGAGTGCGTGTCTGGTAGTCTGCTTCGGTTCCAGCCCTAGAGCAATGTTATTTCTATGAATATTTAGTAGTTGTGATTATGATCGATCGTGTGCTAATGTAAAATCAGTTGCTGTTTCTCGCTATTTCTTGTTCAGCTAAGCTCATGTCAGTAGTCCAACGCAAGGCAGAGAATGTTATGGCTAACTAAAGTGCCAGCGGTAGCCCGTAAGGTAAGCTCAGGGTTGGTTGAATTGGTCTGTTTCAAAAAACATGCTATTGTTCCTTCACGTTGTTGTTCGTTGGTCTCATCGATGATCTCATAATCTCACCCGACACCGAACCGATCCTACTTTATTGGATTCCTATTCGAACAAATTCTCAGAATCTCCACCGCGCCTTCGAGTAGTGCCAGTCGTCAGATATCTAGGCACCTGGAATCGACTTGATGTAAAGGTGGATCACAGCGCCAAAATTCGCTTTTCTATTAAAGCATTATGGTCACTTTAGTGCCATTCCTGCCAATTTCTTTTGACTACACAACTTTTGTTGATAGCATACTGTCCAAACTGCTGAACAGCATCAACAGTTCATTGTCAGTCACAGACGAAAATGGTGGTGCGTCTGCTTACTTGGCGACAAGCACTTCGGTTTATTCGATTCGCTCCTCTGTTATTGACTTGTTGTTGGTGTTTCTCTCATCGCTCCGCTTTTCCCCGGGCTCTCTCGCCTACCGCTTCGTTGGAGTCTTAAAAGTTTTACGTCTTTCTTAATACAATTTGCAACGATTACCGCAATGGTGTAACGATTACCTTTAGTGTAACGTACAGAAAGGTTGACAGTACAACTGCTTCTCTATTTTTGTAGTAATGAACGGCAGAGACGGCATACAAAAACAACTGCGGAACAGGTGAACTGGGTATTAGTAAATACAGAAGCGTCGTTATAAAGAAGGCTTTAACTGGTTAGCTTGTGTGCGCTAGCGACCGACAGACAAGCTGGCCAACAATCAGCTAAACTAGGTGAGGTGGGAGTGTTTGTCCGCCAAATGCACAGATTCGAGTCGGTCTTACGAACACTGTATGAACAGATTGCTGGAGGGAATAGCATTTGCTGCTGAGCTGAACGGGCAACTGGGAAGGATCGCAAATATTACCGTGCACCAAACGAGCTGTCTCACATCTCCTAGTCAACGATTCGTTGGATCGACAAACAAGTTCCCTTTAGCTACAAACATAGTATTACAGACTTATAAACACATTGGACTCAGTGTTAAACATAGCCTGTCGTATGTAGATATGTATGTACGTACTGAGGCACGAAAGGTTCGCGCCATGTTATAAGGCAATGTATAAACGCGTGCCCTTCCTTCAAAATTGAATGTAATTTCGCTTCAGAATGTGGTTCTGTCTTTGCAGTCTGAGTGCCAGGCAAAGCCTGCAGCTATTTTACTTACTAAGTGCTGATTACGCCTAATGGCAAAATCCGTATTATTCTATCTTGTCATTATTATTACTCCAAATAATAAACAAGTATGTGTATCCAACGCTACCATTGTACTCGTGGGCATCAATTAGGTCAAGTGGCTGTTGCTTTCTTAGCCGCTGCGTCTATTTGAATCCTTTCTATCCTTCTTGTTACGAGGGTTTATGTAATATTTATTCGCAGTCAGAAAATGTGAAGCTGCGCTAAAGGATTCGAAACGTGACTTGTATTTAACTGTCGGCCCTTCACTGTTTAAGTTTGGCGTGTATCTGGACTTCGTTTGATCCCTTTTAGTTCTTCTATATACAATAGGGGGTTTTTCTGCGATATCCTGATAGATAGTATCGATTAATAGCTTGGTAATTGCTTTCCGATTTCGGAAACGTATAGTGAACGCCATAGATGATGCTGTGTGACTTTAGGCGGAGTGCAACAGTCACTGGCATTATGGCTGTTTCTGTTGCCATTCACTAAAGTTATGTGTGAGCTCGCGACACGCAAGTGTCTTAACGCGGGAAAAAGAAAAGGGCATAGGGCAAAAGACGCTATCGCACGATATCGACAGTGAAAGAATGGCAGACGACGACTTCACTAGCTACAAAAAGGCAGTCTTTATCAAAAGCGATTCCATCGTTAGTGTGTAAGGGAACACAATAGAATGATGTTACAGAAATCGAGCCGGTGCGTACATATAAATATAGACAGCGATTATAGATTTCCCTCTTCTTTCACAACTTCTTTTTTTACTAATAAATAATAGCAGTGATAATAACAGTAGTAATAGCACCAACCCAGCACTATTTGCCTACACCCATTTTAGACGGCTGGCCACTTCCAACACTATATGAAAAACGTACACACCCAATTTTGAACCTAGACCTCCTCACCAATCCCTAAAATTTAAAAGCAACCGCGTTACCATTGAGCCCTTGTAGAAACGCTTTATTTCGTATTTGTATTCACTGCGGCGGGGACAATGACACGATAGCCGAAAACTCAATTGTTTCGAATATAACAGTTTCATATGATATAAGCGAAAGAGTTGGCGGTTGCATTCTCAAGAAAGACTGCATTTCCTTGCCACCGTAAAGGTTCATGCGTAGATCATATAATCGCTGCTATTCAGATTGGTTTTCTGATGAACAGGAATGAATTGGGAGATTTTTCGTGTGTCTGAGGAAAGGAAACAAATACGGAGTGGTTCATTAGTAGAGTCAGCACTAGTAGTCAAATGATACTTGTCTAGTTATAGTTATTAGTGCTACGAATCATAGCGTGAGTAGCGTTTACTATGTAAATAGTCATTAGATGGCAAGAAGTTTTTTCCTGTACAATTCCATGCACCTGTGTGGAAGCTCTTAAGATCACAGCGAGCAGCACAGGATAATCAATATATTTCTTACCGTGGTCGACAGAAAGACCTGTGCAGTTAGCTCTGGACCTATTACAAGCCGTCCCATAGATGTTTTTCATAAATATTATCGTTTCTATTTAGTTAGTTGCTTATTTCTGTTTGCATAGATTTTTATATGGATGATGTTTTTAGTGAACACGTATGTGCGATGACTATTATAATACATTTCATTTTCAACCCTTACGATTACAGTGTCTTGATGAAGTTCTGATTTGATCCTATCCTCTTCAAGTCCATTTTTCCATCAGCTTGGCCTAAAAATTCTGTGGCTTGGCGTTGTTGTTTTAGCTTTGTTAATGTTGACGACATTGGCAAGAGAATTTGATACTAAAAAGGATCGCACAGCACAGCAATGCTTCTGCTTTTTTCCAAAGCAACAGCAGGTATGGTAAACAACTAAAGAAATACGTACTGAGGTATGCGCTGGTTTGTGTGTAACTTCTGTCTCTTTGTGACGCATTTTGATTGTAAAAGTATTGAATCTACCAAGTCTTTAGCAGCTACAGAGATACGTAGTATTTTAAAGGCTACAGCTCCCACAGTACCATTGGTCGTTCTGTAAATACATACTTAGATAGTGATGTTTATTTTTAACAAAACAAATAGGTCAAATTACGGTGTTTATTGGCGATACTAACGTCTGTTGCGGCTGAAGAACTGGCCTGTCAATTATTGTACTTATTTGCGCGTTCTCTTTAGTCCTAAATCCATCCGACATCGTTATCGTTTTCAAGAACCAAAACCGTAACGCTGAAATATATTCATATGCTTCTACAGGAGACGATTATGACTGCCTGACTAATAAGCGTAGCTTGAAATCCTAAATATTGTTACAGACGAAAAAGGTGAAGCGAGTGCGTTTTTGCTGTAGTCATAATGGAAGGGCAAGCCATTACTAGCCCATACGATTGCTTACAAATATCTGAAGGTAGGCTAGCTTATAATGATTACATGTATCGCAGTTTAGTAACATTTCGCTGGTCTTTAAGCTAGGAAGTGTTTCCTTTCTATGGTGTGGAGGGCCCGAAAAATATGCAGTAGAAGGCCAGAGTAAGCTAATCTGGTATGTTCCCATTTGTGGCCAACAACCCAGATCAATCTTTAGAAGTCTCAAATGTCATCATAAAGGTAGTCATTTGCTATCAATCAGCAATGGTCAAAACGACGACGCGAAGCTGCCGTTTGTTTTAATATAACGAATATAGCTATTGTACCTAAGCGATGTAGAAATCTGGCGCCGACCTCGGTCCCATGTACCTTTACTCGTTTTTGGCCTGCTACATGCGTGTTGTTGTTTGTCCTGTGATTATTTCTTCATTAGTAAGTTGTGCCATTCAATACTTAAGCTGCCCAACACGAACCAGTTAGGAAGATTTCAAGCGATTGTGTGAAATATGTCAAGAGCATATATCCATCGACACTGAAAGAATACGTGTCAGTTTCGTTGTGTCTCCAAAGCGTTAGTCGAGCAGAACCTATATAGATTTTTCGTCTGATAAATCGTTTAGCGTGCAGCTGTGTGGCTTTTTATGATAATGTTACGTGGGAGTACTTATCGTGTGTAATGTTTTAGGGCTGTACATAATTTCTGATATAGTTTTTGCCTAACGTCAATCGTGTCAACAAATTAAGTAGCTCGTTGTGCATGTCATGTTCTCTCAACCATAGCGACAGAAGCTGAGTTTCTGCGAATGAAAGAGCAGAAGCTCTTTTTTCTTGTGCAGTGTAACTGACATTCACTAGAAGTTGGTTTTAAAAAAAGCTGTTGAGATATCCAGCAATTGATAGAACGAGAAAACCGAATGGAGAAATGTGGCTGGCCTCTTGGCTGACCACGCGCACACACACGCACACAGACATACACTCACGTTCACATGTACGCACTCACACGTTCAGATACACACTCACATGTACACACACATATACAGACACATATCTACATACATATTCACACGCATATTCTACACACATATTCACACACACACACATACACAGAAACACACGAACACAGAAACACATAGACACACGCACGTAGGCACGCACACATGCACATAGGCACGTTCACACACAGACGCAGAGACATACACACACTCACACACACATACTAGCTACGTGAAGTCTGATTTGCTTGTTATTTTTTTTTCTTTTTTTTACACCAGCAGTGGCATATCGTTTATACGGGCCGCAGTACCAGCGCCAGTGCACGAATACTGGTACACGACAGTTTGCGCATTTAGGCTCTATTTGCTACATCAGGTGTGATTGTGATGACAGCTTCAAGTGGTCAAGATTCACAGCCTAAAAAAACGCGTCTGCGTTCGTGATCTCGACTCGTTAGTCTATCTCTTGTGCCTAACGTTTATCAAAAATCGCAATGCGTTAATTCGCGGTGGTAACAGTAACTTGTACTCTTATATATCTATGTATTGACAAACGCATGTACTAAAATGAGTAAAAATCACGAAGTTTCCGTAATCACTTAATATCATATGAGCTAACTGCGTGATTGTACCGTTGAAACCGTCACCAACGTTTCTGCCATGGTACAGTTCAATGACAAGGCAGCCACGCCGCGCTTACCGCAAACAGTGTTGTCCTATCAAATCGCTAGGCTTTGCAGCTAGCCAAACGTATGTTTGGCAATATGGCGATGCTCATACAGACGCCTCGAACCTTGTTAAATCTTAGCTGTCATTCTTTGTGGTATATTCACATAAAAGCACACCGTATCAGATATGCCTGCTGTTAGCTTGTAAGAAGCTCTTGCTTACGTGCGTGTCATTTAAAAACCCTATCAAACGTGTTGGCGTCTCATGGCTAGTCATGTGTTAGAATTACACCATATAGAAAAGTCAAAACATTTATCAGAACTGGTTACCGAGCATTGATTGTTTGTTGTTACAGTGCTTAGTCATCACTCAAAAAGCCGTTCAGTCACTAAAACTTCTGCGCGTTCGTCATTCTCTTATTTTTACCATCGCTCTGCTAATATGAGATCAACTATAGCTAAGCAGTATTAATACTTTATGTATGTATACATACGTACGTTGACTTTCTCGAAGCAGCGATTTGTTGGATGTGCCGAATAATATCTCGTATGTTTGTTGCAACTAAAGCGTTCTGCTACAGCGTCGACGACGGCAGTAACCTAGTGCAGTTGAGGGCGACACGCTGGGTCGACTCCGTCTGGTTAAATCGTCTTCCTACAGAGAAGAGAGAGACAGGCAGAAAAACCTACAGATACTTTTGCCTGTGATTTCTTCCTCCATTTATACTTGGTTTATCGGTCTGTCCTTTGTTCGATTCAACTCGCCATCGGCCGACCACTGTCACTTACGACTTACAGCATCACGTTACCTCGTGTTGAATATATCCGCTCATATTTAGCAGAATTGTACGACAGTATTTACGTAGCCGGCAATATAATATTCCTAATATTTGGCGATATTCACTCAGCTTACCGTCTGGGATCTTCTTCTGGCCTTCGAAAAACAGGAGCAAGTAGGTTAATAGGGACATGCGATTCCACGACTGTCACAGGGCTATTGAATCCTGTCTAGGCTATGTGGTACATCAGAGTCAAACCTCACATGTGTGGCGTAAAACTTGTTTAAGAGACATTAAACTTGAAGCAAGTAGACTGCCGCTATTCAACATACCAAGGCTAAACTACATAAGCTTTAGAGAAACGCTTTACTTAAGCTGTTTGTACCAAGCTTTCGTAAATAGAAGCACTTCCGCAATTTTGTAAGAGCTCTATAAAAGCTGCCATAGCATTCCGTAAATGTCGCTGAATTTAAACAGATTTTGAGGATGTTTTTTAATATAAAGGCTCGTTTCAGATATGTCACGTGTCGATGGTTACACAGTCAAGAAAAACATTGATTGCTTTATTGAGTACCTTCTATTACGTTGGACACTAAAACACAAAGCTTGTATTACTAATGACTACTCAAGCTTTAAATGTACCTTTTTATAGTTTGTATAATTGAACTATCTAGGATGGGCATTTGGAGAGAATATCTTACTTTACAGGAATCGGATCGAGCAAATGATAGGTTACTCGTAATATCATATTTTGAGAATATACCTAATGTTTTCCTTTACGTGTAGGCACATAAAGACTCGCACATTGCTGCACAGTCATTTATCTCCGAAAATACCTTAAGCTAAGCTTTTTTTAAAAGTAGCAGGAGAATAGATAATTTAACTTCAGTAATTTGTAAGATGCGTCATATTGTATTCAGTGTCCCTGTGCAAACATGAAGCTTTGTTAAGGTAAAAAAAAATTACGACTCAGTTTGCTTCCCGCATTAGTATTTCGTGATGTATTACCTTATGAAATAGGACACAATAAATGCGACGCAAATTAACTACGGTTATTAATACTGCGGTTGGCTAGCGATTCGTGCGATGTGTATATTGCCGTAAGTGAGATCAGCATCATGCTTTGATGCAAAACCAAGGCCCCTCGCTTAAGCCATCGATACGACATATAAATAGTTATGGGTAAAAGTTTATCACGGCTTGGTTTCTACGCCCACAAGAGTGTCTGGAGCAGTTGCGTTGGAAGCGTTTGATGAATGTTACTTGTAAAACTGAACGGCGTTGAGTACGCTAGCGCGACAGCTGTTGGTGTGTAGACCTTTTTAGGGCTATGCGATTTGAAGTAGGCCCTGAACCGATTGTTGCATTACACGTTACTGCATGTAAAATTAAGGCCAGCTCAACTAATTATTGTAATTGTAAGATAACAATTACGTAAATCAAATCGCGTGTAACTTCTGTATGGTTTTTATGCATAATTTATAAAGGATAACGTTTGGAAGAATTAACGACATCCATTAGTATTTCAGTTTTACTGGGTAATCATCGTTTAAGATATACATTCGTTTATATTTGCTTATTTAATGTAAGAAACCTATTACCAGTAGTACTACGCTAAGCAGATGAGGCCAACGGACGTTTGTTTACATTCTGTTAAAGAGTAACAATTGCTATACGGCCATAGAATTTCCAGCTAACGTTGCACTTTAAGCCCATAACGAGTCCGATTCACTTTTCGTCATCGTCTCGCGAAGTACAGCAAGATGTATCTTAGATATTTCATCGATTTCAAGCGAATCTTTTCGATAAGAAGCTCCCCTTCTTAAGAGGATTAAGATTAATTAAAATTATTACTAATTGACTGTGCCTATGTACTGTAAGATTGTATCATAGTTTTGAGAATTCTACGGAGCGATTCATCTATCAAAAAAAGAGAGGATAAAACCATTAGAAAACATTCATGCAGTGTCATTAGACGCTCGTAACACATCAATTGAAATGGACCGATAAAAACTTATTTTTAGCTCAGATATTAATATTGGCAACATACTGTCAATAAACAATAGCACGAGACGTTAGCCCGAACTGATCAGTGATTTTGTTACTTTTTGTGTCGGCCCCAATTTCAGTAAGTTAGATTCCAGTCAGCTCCAGGACCAAAAGCAAAAATGTCGTCCCGAAAGAAGGTGCTTCTTAAAGTTATCATCCTCGGTGACTCTGGGTAAGCTTCATTGATGCACGATTAATCGTGCGCTGATAGAACCATTCGTCTATCATAGTCTTATGTGTTCTTTTTGTACATCTACGGGCTATTAGGGTATTTAAGTGGCGACTTAACGAAAATTGCTTTTGTAGACCTTGCGCTTACTAATTCTTCGCTTTTTCCATTCTCTTGCTTCATATTTGTATTGTCGTTGCTTCAGTGTCGGCAAGACGTCTCTTATGAACCAGTACGTGAACAAGAAATTCTCGTCACAATATAAAGCTACCATCGGAGCAGATTTCCTAACAAAGGAAGTTATGGTCGACAACAAACTTGTCACCATGCAGGTAAGCGGAATAGATTGACAATATAAGCTAGTAATCACAATTTCGTCTTTGAAATGTAATACTCACATTTTATTTTTTTCGCTCTTTTCGCTCAGGTATTCTTAAATTCATATCGTATGTAGGTTAAATCTAATCGAATTAAAGGTGACGTACTTTGTTGTTTGTTGTTTTCGAATATAGTCTCTCTTATTGTTTGAAATGTCAATATAATAGAGGTACATAATTATCCTTTCCTCTTGTATATGCGTACGGTAGTGTAAATACGGTAACATTTCAGCCATATAGTAAACTATACATTTGAAAATATACAACCGTATATTTTCTTTCTGAAAATCGTTTGTTTATGGTTTGTATATGGTGTTATTTGTATACGTATTCGATTTGTTTGTCAGATTTGGGATACGGCAGGACAGGAACGATTCCAGTCTCTCGGAGTGGCATTTTATCGAGGTGCAGATTGCTGCGTGCTCGTCTATGATGTGACATCTCCAACGACCTTCAAAAGTCTTGAAAGCTGGCGCGATGAGTTCCTTATTCAAGCTTCACCCAGAGACCCCGAGAATTTCCCCTTCGTCGTCATTGGAAACAAGATCGACCTTGAGAACCGGTTAGTTGTATGACCAAGAGTTCGAAGAAGCACTTCAAAATTAGCACGTGCAGAGTGGAAACTGAATTGTTGATTCTACTAGTCAAATACTTTACTCCTTTATCAAATTTTTTTAGTAATCATCTTCGAAACAATGATCATTTCGTTAAAAAGCCACCAACTACGTTTGTGTAGTTGACGGATTTTCATATGTGTGCTTCGTATAATCAACGGTAGCATGTGTATCATTGTTGCTAATTGTGATTTTTCTATAGGTCTATCATGCAGAAGCGCGCACAGTCGTGGTGTCAATCAAAGAATAGCATTCCCTATTTTGAAACCTCGGCCAAGGAAGCACTTCATGTCGACGAAGCGTTCGCAACGGTGGCACGGAATGCCCTCGCTCAGGAAACCGAGGTCGAACTGTACAATGAATTCCCTGATCAAATTAAACTGTCGCCCGGGCTGTCTGGCGGAGTGCGCCAGGACAACTGTGGATGCTAGAGTCATGACCATATTATCATTATGGGCGATGGCCACATTTGTAATGCAGGATAGCTAGGCAAGCGAACGTGGTGAAGGAAAGACACACACAGAAAAAATTATCTTTAGAGGCAGCAGCAATTCGTTTAACGAGTAATGCATGGCTGATAATTGCGGACAATACGATCGCTTGAGGGGAGTATCGGCCGGTTTGTCGAAAATAAATTAGTGCGGCGCGATTAAGGCAACTTTTCCTTGTTGCGCCCAAAATCTCGACCCAAGTGAAGCACTCGTGTCATCGCTTTGTATAGCTGCTGTTCTAGAGCATCCTTGCTTCTTTGGCACATGAAACGCACGGAGAAATATAAAATGTTATCAAAGCCATCGAACCTCAAGGCGAGAGCCTGGAAAAACGCTATAACTTTATGGTAGGGAAGTTTATGGGGAAGAAAGCGCCGCTACGTCGTTTGCCGAACCAAAACAGCCCTATAGAAAGAGATGGATGCTATCCATGGTAACTGAACGCATAGACATTTGATCATATGATACGATGATTGATAAGTTTGTTGGTAACTACTGCGGCGAATAGATACAGAAAAGACACATAGTAATAAGAACAGAAAAATATATTTCGACACACACACACAGACACATATTAGGTACATTTGAACAAAAACAATACAGCAAATCGATAGTTGCTATTCACAGTTGTAAACGTAAAAGATTAGTTAACGAGATGTTTTTGGGTGTAACACACACGTCTGTTTAGAAAATGACTTCAGCTTTCACTGGAGTTTTGCTAAGGCCTGATTGGTCCCTGTTGTGGTGTTTGTCCATAAAAGCTGCTCCCTATCTCCTCATTATTGGTGGTAAAATCTAAACAAGTAAGAGGAAAACGGAAGGCTGCAAAAAACTGTATAGTGCGCAAATAAATCTACTATCTAATAATGTAAAGGTATGAGTAGCCAAAACAACAGACGTAGTGTCGTACAAGGACGGTGAGCAAACTAGGTCGTCGCAGGACTAATATTATATAGACGGATAATAACGATTGAAAACAAAAGGCGAAGATGATGAAAATATAATAATAATATATATATATATATATATATATATATATATATATATATATATATATATATGTAACGTAATTACAATTATGATTTCTTAAGACGGGTGGGTCGATGCGGAAGGGCCGCAAGAGATTATATCGTGGGTTATCTCAGATATATATATGTGAAACAAGTCAGGGCTCGCAGGTGTGTGTATATACAGATATTACGCTGACTGAAGATTACGGTGGTCAAGATATAGGCGCCGGTCATGAAAGTGATAATGATGGCGCTGCTTACGATAGTGAAAATTAATAGCAGACGAGAAGAGCACACAGAAGCAGACGAGAATACGAGCAGAAAGATATATCCTAGATGGACTTCAGACATGGGTTCAATAAAAGTAGGTGACATCAATTAACTGGCCCCAGGAAACTTTTGGTCCATTTTAAAAGACAGACAAGTAACAACATAAACATCGTTGAAAAATGCCACCTAGCACACATGAATATTCGACAGCGAGAAAACTACGACAGCTGAACGGAAAACTAAAAGTTATGACTGAAGCTAAACGTAATGTTAATGAAGTAATCAATAACCACTAAAAAACTTTTTCAAGTCTTACCGTGATGACGAAATTTCATTCAATTCTGGGAAACGGGATAGGGCAGAAGCTGACAGTGTTAAAAGCTACTACAACAAATTATTGACCCGTTGTTCATGGTGGTAGTGGCATAGTGCGGGCATAACAATGATGAGGTTTCTATTGAAAGGGAGAAACGTGTATGACGTTGAGGATTTCGAATGTCACCGTAACGAACAGACAATATAAAAACAAAATAAGAACGATAAATAACATAAATATGCACGAAAACAAAGGAAAAAATGGAAAAGAACGAAATCAGGTCATACTAGGAAAAGGAAAGATTGAGAGAATATATGATGATTGCTTATTACAATTACCCAATAAAACTATTGATATTATTAAGTAAGGGCTTTTCATTTTGCAGCGGAAAGGTAAATAGGTGCGCTCGATAGTCTCAAAGCGAAGAATGAAATTGTTTTTTTTACAAAATAATAATAATTAGTATTTGTTACGTGCTGAAGAATTGAATTATTATACGAATAAAGAGAAACTCAAGTTGAGAAAAAATTCTTATATACTGAATAGCTGCCGTACGTAAGGTAAACTCTTTGTTTATTCAAACCTCTGCATTTCTTGGCGGTTTCGATTTATCGACGAAACAAGCGCACAAACACCATTAGTGTGGAAAGTTTTATCAGTAGGTTTTGCGGTCATAACCTAGGTCAGTGAATGCTGTGTATTATCAGTATTCAGATTAAGCAAAGTTTTTATAATAAAAAAAAATAAATATTTTTAAACATATTTCGTATTGTATGGTGTTTATCAAATTCTTATGAACTGTAGCTTCATATATACATACATATTCATATATGCAATAGCACAAAGATCAAAAAGATAAACACGATAAAATCTGTTTCCAGTAGACGAGCTAAGAATCTGCGACTTGCGCTGTTAGTTCTCTTCAATCAACCCCACTTGCTTTAAAAGTAAAAGCAAAAACGAAATAAAAGAACTTCCTTGTATACCAATTATGTAGTCACATCTAGAATCATTTGAAAATGCTTTAATATACCTTGGTAGTCAGAAGTAATGCTAGTGAGGTGATTTGTAAACATGATAACTTTGTTACAATATATAATATGAAAGACGTGTAAAAAGCAACAGATGGTCCTTCGATATACTTAACCGCATCGATAAAGGACTAATTACTACAAAACCACTACAAGTATAACTTCACTCAGGTGCTGAATAGTACCGTTTTTGGCACTATAATCAGGTTGCTAACTAACTACATTTTTCTGCGTAGCAGCAATCTGGCTTCTGCAAATGTTAACAAGTCGGCACGCACATATACGCAAGTGGCCGCGATTACTGACTGTTACTATTTGGCACAAACGTACAAAGTGTTAAGCTTTCATACAAATGCTTGCCTAATGAAAAACGAACATAAAAGGCTTCATCTAAGTTTTCATGGCATGTCACGAGATATTTCCGTCGTATTCGCTTTCGCAGGCATATTAAGCAACGTTTGCAAGCGACTTATAGCCGCGAATTCTCCGCAATCGTCTAATTAGATCTTAATCCTGTGTCTAAAGAGTACCCTTTGTTGTTCCCTTTTCCGTTATTCTTTGTTCCCATTTACACGCGTTCAATCTGTTTGATCGCTTAGGTGTGTGGTAGACATTAGATTATATACAACGGTACCCAGAATCATCTTTCCGAGTTACACAGTATCAAGGTGTTGGTCAAGGCCGTATTATTCGTCGTGTTCGTTGGTACGCATTTCAATTCACTAATTATTGGGTAGCTACAGCAGATTTCATGAAATCTAGCGAGAGTTCAATAAGCCTTAAAAAAGTAAATTACATCGTAGTAAATAAAACGTGGATAACCAATAGTTTAAATACTTTAGGAGCCTAACTTTCGCTTCAAACGTGTGGGTTACTTTTACCAATAGAAGATAGTTATTGATAAATATGTTAGTTTGACGGGCTTAGCCCGTTGCTTAGCTAATGGGCTACTCCTTGTTAGTTGTTTAGTCAGCGAAAAGAGTCCCGTGTGAATCCTATGTGAACTCTATCCAGAGTTCCTTTTCTCATAGGTTACTCTCCATCCAATGAAAACAGTGTGAAGTACATCGGATGGTTGAATATAACTGAGGGTTAAGTATTTCCCGATTTTTTTACTTGTCAATCTACATTATTCTGTTTTGTTTCCATTTTGTTTTTACCTCTACGTTGATACGTGAGCTAATGTGTCGACGCATAAAAACTCAGTTTTTGTTTTCCTGAAAGCTCATCTTAAAAGCTAGCATTGTGGTCAGCGTGTCTACAAGCTGGACAGACTGCATTGTGACAAAAATATTTATAGTACTTTTACTAAGATCGATTACCATTTGATTGATTTTCCTTCACATATTGCTCATCTGCATGTTAAAGTCTTTTAAGCAGAAATTCACTTTTCAGAAAGGTTTTAACGCTTACAGAAAAAATGCGCGTATAATTTTAATAAAGTTAGTGCAAATGGCAAACAAAGCACAGTTTGTTTTATGTTCTGAATAGTTGTTAATTGTGAATGAGATTATTGCTTGGCTAGACTGCAGCTACACGAAAAACAAACTAGACGAAGCGCCCCATTTTGTCTCGTTCTAAGCAGTATATGTTAAGCAAATGCTCTACGTAAAGTGCATAGAGGGTTTGCAGATAGAAGACGCAGAGTTGGCTATGACGGAATTCAAATCGTAGTCGGCGGTTGCCGAGTTTTACAATCCAACCTTTGATTGGAGTAGTAGTTTTAAACAACAGTTTCGATCCTTTGCTGGGACAAAAGAGAAGTTTGAGTAGACGTGACAAAGCGCAAGGACCTCACCGTTTAGACACAATTTCGGTTTCGAAGCAAATCAAAAGGTACCGAACTGAGCCCCTTACGGATCTCTATCGCGCTACTACGTCCCAGTTTAAAAGTGCGGTAGTAGAGGTCACAGCTCGTGTCCGTTATACAACGAGCTTATACAAAATGGCGTTGGAGAAAGTGGTCTCCCAACTTAATTTGTTTATATGTATCGCTCATCGCAGCTTTAAATTCTAGCGTCATGGGTATTATCGTTTCAACATTTTAGATGCGTTAGAACCACAGAATGAGTCGTGTAAAACGGCTTCTGTTTCAAGAAACGCGTATAAAATGGCCTTACAATTGTCGTTTTGAATAGCTTAAAGAGACAAGTCAAAATATGAACCTATTTTATCGAATGTTAACTTCATTTCAATTTTGGTTTAATTTAACCCCCCCGACGTGTTGCTTTGAGGCGGAATCGTTCGGTTAAGAGCTTAATTAAACTTGGAGCGTCAAAAAATCGTTAAAAGTCAAATCAAGCATTTTCTAGGTTGAATAGGTAAATTTGAAAGTCGAAACACCTGTTAAAGTGAGGACGATTCTTGACTAATTTTTATGCAACTCGTATTACAAGGTGCACAATCTAGTAGGTATTATAGAAGCAAAAATGTGAAAAATATCTTAAAAATTTTATTCTCATAGAAGCTCCAGTTATATATATTCTGTTGATTATAGGATGGAAAGCTATATTTTTGCTAAGTATTTTCACAGCATTCGGTTTGTAGTTTTTTCATACTTTGGGGTTTAAGAAGCTTACATGAGGAACAGTTTTCTTATTGGGTTTGCTATTAGATAATAGGACATTAGCTCATCACGTTAGATTATGTAGATCAGAATTTTAAGCTACTTTTCAAGTGTTTTAAAGAACCTTTAAAAGGATTAAAGTACTTGCCTCAAATCATCGATCCCGTTAAGTTAATCTTTGAAGCTTGTTTCGATACAAGCCGCTCGTAATTGATTCTGTAGTAGCTATTATGAGATTAATAGATTTGATTTGCCTGCGCATCTTAGGGACGTTGTGGTAGTATAGATTCAAATCTGGGCATAGAAAATGGTTTGTTTCGTGCTGGGAGACAGCTGTCTGATGGAATATCGAACTGCCAAGTCGAATGTAAAACTTTGACCTTAGGGACTTGATCATATTGCTAGCATTTTCTACCTTCGAGTATTGGTCAATAACGGGCGAAAATTTAATAAACGGGAGTACGGGCGTGGCGTACGGATTAACACTGTGGTTTAATCAATCTAAGATTATACAGCATGACAGGCATGCATTTTTTACCCCGACAATCTTACGTTTGATTTGGGAACATGGCTTTTTAAAAATGTTTCATGTAGTTAAAGCCTATTTAATATTGATGACTTTGTCTCTAAAGGTAAACCATTTTTTTATTATAACCTATTTTTTCGTTTATCTAGCAACTGAGAATTTTTTGTGTAGTGCAGTTTATTGTATTGGCTGAACTCTAGATCCTGTTATGTTTGTTACTAAACATTGCACTGTGTATAAGCATAACATTATTTATCCTCCAAATTAAGTAGTATTTATGTGTTGTATAACTTTGCACTTTATGCATATATATATATGGCAATATCTGTGTCTATGTTGTTGTACAAGCTGCCGAGCAGTGTATGCGTTTCAATAAAAACCTATACGTTACTGTACTAAATGAGCAGGACGTGAGAAAAAATTATTTTCTTTTTAGCTTGTTTGCCAAAACATGCAGAATTACTGAAGCTATCCAAACGAGATTAATAGCCCGGAAGTAGAAAACAAATTTGCAATAAATATGAGTCGTCGGGTATGCTGGTAAGAATAATAATAATAAAACCTATTTATTGCATCGGTCAAATCACAAACGTAAGCTGAGTCTAGTATCAAAATTGACAATGAAGGTGTTTATTTTATGATTAGATTCTTTCTTTCCTTTCTTTCGACTGGATTCCCATTGTGAAGCTGAGACTCTGAGCTTTCTAACACTGATTATGTCTTTTATCTTGGTGCACGTGTTGGAATCCTACAATTTCATCAACATCCTCCAATCTCATCGACTAGCGGCAATAATCAACATTAGCGGTTAACGACACCAATATAAATTGAAAAAATTGGTGCTTAGGTGCAAAAAATTAATTCATTGCAAGTTATTAAAACTTGGAATTAGACGCAAGTTATTGTTGGGGTGCACAAGCACAAAAGTGTTAACTGTTTTTCTAAGTTCAAAATTACGCCACGAAAAATTTACCACCGGCAGTCGAAATTAACGTACAGGTATGCCATCCTTAATTATAGTTATTGCAAATTTTATCCAATATTATCTACGCATTCAACTTACTCCAGGTTAGTAGAGCTATAAAGATGATGACCTTATCGGACCTGGATGCCAGCTTCGGAGTAACCTTGGTACCGACTGATCTTCGGAGGCTTCAACGCATCGGTTTTGGTTTTCAATTGATAAATCAAACTTGTAATCAAATGTGTAAAGCTGTAGAGTTATATAAATATATATGCC